AACAATAAATTGTTTTATTTCAAATAATAAGGATTCAATTTTTATTAAATTCAAAACAGATTTATTTAAGTAATTAAATTTAAGTAATTAAATAAATTTAGTTCAACATGAATTAATAAAAAATATATAAAATTATTAAATCTATCTAATTAAGTGACAGCAGTTGAGTTTTGATTTATACAAAATCAAGGAACATGAATTTTACAAGATTTAAATTTTTGAAAAATATATAAGAACAACAATGAATCGAAATTTTATACAGCTTATACTTTTATTTCCACATATTTCTAAATGAAATTAATTAATTACTGTATGCCACTTTGTACTTCTTCCATGATTAATAACTTTATATTCTTCTTTTATATTTTATCTTTCTATCCTTTAATCTTTTTTTAAGGTATAACAAAGAACTCTCTACAATTGCATCCGGATGAGAAGCATCTCCTCTATCCGATGGGGTACAAGGTTGTCATAAAGAACATCGAAACTAGCGAGCAACGATTTTTGAATGGTCACACAAATAATGTCTCGACATTGTGTGTCTCTCCGTGCGGTGAATACGTCGCTTCCGGACAGAACAATCATCTTGGATTCAAGGTACGTATACATCTTAATATTCTCATATGCAATTCAATTATATTTGATTTCGCCGATTACATCTTCATGTCACAGGCCATGGTGATTGTATGGAATTACAAGGAAGGTACGATGAAAGGCAGTTACGAGACGCACAAGGTTGGCATCGTGGACCTATGTTTTACTTGTAACAGCAACTTCCTCGTGAGTCTCGGTGGCAGAGACGACGGCAACATAATTATCTGGGACGTCGAAAAGAATTCTCTAATTTGCGGTATCTGTCCTTATTCTTTTTATTAATATCCCCACAAATATACAAGAAGAATCTCAGAATGATGTATATGACTGAAGAAATATAGAAGTTCCTCCGCGAAAAAAAATTCTTTTACCAACAATTTAGAGCACAATTCAACCCACAAATGTACATCAAATATTGAGAAACAATCCTCCGCAGGTTCATTCGCCAGCAATGATACGAGCGGTAACGCATATAATGTTACGAAAATGCATCTTCACGACGAGTGTTTCGTTAGCGCGGGCGACAGGACGCTAAAGATCTGGTGGATCGAGGCGAAGAAACATCGAATGCACAATCTCGATGTGGAACTGGGCAAAATAAAGCGTCTCATCAACTGCATCGTTGTAGACGAAAAGGATGAGATCATCTACTGCGGCACTTCTTCCGGTGATATCATTAAAGCAAGGTCACATAGAGACACCTGTGAAAAAATTAGTATTCACAGCTCTTCAATTAATATCTTTTAATTGCCATATCACTACGATTCAACTTCGTTTGCTGTGTGCATCCTCATTCCTATTCAATCGTCTTTTCTTTCTCAGGTTGAATTTGCGTGACACTCTGCAAAGCGGAGAACCGGCGTGCTTGCCGGTGATGATCGGCTGCTACTCAAAGATAACGCGTGACCCGAGGAAGATGAAGATGGGCGAGGGTGATTTATACGCGGGCGGAGTGAGAAACTTGCTGCTTCTAAAGGATGGAAAACTGGTAGTCGGTACCGGTGACGGTACTATCGAGTTGATTCAAATAATAAGTATGAAAGAAAGCCGAACGCAAAGCAAGCAGCCGTCGAAGTTTCCCAATACACCGCAGATACTCACTGTAAGTCGTTCAAGTCACTTCACGGCAGATACATTATAAGAAAGAAGCAGAAAACAACAAAAGCGAAGGAAGGAAAAGATATATAAAGATATTGCAAAACATGAATTACAAAAACGAAAATTAATGACGAATATATACAATATATACAAATGGCAATATATACAAATAATTTGCAAAGAATTTATGATGATTGAAATCGTAATTATCACCCTTTTTTATTAATCAGCATCAAAAAGAAAACGTGTGTAGCGCTGTAACATCCATGGTTCTCCATTTAAACGAATTCGTGCTGATTGGGACATCCTGGTGCGAGATCTATCAAATAAAGCTGTCAAATTTTGCAGACATGCGTCTACTCGTCACGTGTCATACCAGCTGCATATATAGTATCGCATTTCCACGGTAAGAGAGTTTTGCAACTACATGCTGGTTGATCGAATCGATTAACGTCGCTTTAATCATGTCGCAGCAATCATTCGGAGGTATTCGCAACAGGCAGCAAGAACGACGTCAGGTTGTGGCTATTGGAAAAGCAGAAGGAAAGAGTTCGTGTCACCGTAACGAATTTCATTTGCTCCAGTCTGCAGTTCGCACGTGATGATCAAATGCTGCTTTCTGGTATGTATGGCTAGTATCATATTTATATTTATATTATTGAGGATTTTAACAATTCAAGTATTATATAAATCAGAGATTATAAACTCTTCCTTATTATTATTATCTGTGCAATGATCTGATATTATTAACTTAATACATATAAAATTTTTCATGCATAAATATGTATAAATATACATAAACACGCATAAATATTCATAAACATGTATAATTATATATGAAATATGGCCATACATGTTTATACATCCTTCTTTCTTTTGTAAAATTATTTTTTAGTATAATATAAATAATAATAGCAATGTGAAAACATAAAAAATAATTAATGAGATAATTTTCGCATTGTTTGTTTTAGAAACAAAAAAGTTTGAGAAAATGTAAAAAATAAATTGCTCATACATAATTATGCATAATATTATATAATTATACATAAGTAATTTTTTTACATTTCTTCAAACTTGATTTTTTTCTAAAATAAATAGTGCGAAAATTACCTTTTTAATTATTTTTAATGTTTTCACATTACTATTATTATTTCTATTACACTAAAAAGTAATTTTACTAAAGAAAGAAGAATAAATGTATGAACATTTATGGACATATTTCATATATAACATGTTTATGAATATTTATGCATGTTTATGTATATTTATACATATTTACATATTCATGCATGAAAAATTTTTTATCGAGAAACTCCCCATTTATGTTTCAAAAGCTTTTAACAGTTGCAATTCGTTATAATTTTTGTACAGTAATGCATGCTATCGAATCTTCTCTTTTTTTCTATATTTCAGAACTGAAACACTTCTTGCATGATTCATTTTTTTTATCTTTTTCTCTACAATGAAAAGAAAAAGAAGAAAGATGAACTATGCAAGAACCAAAACATGAAAAAAGAACAGGCGTCGTGTTTAAACTAAAATAAACATTTGTATTGTTTACATGTTTCAGCTTGGAACGACGGCATAATAAGAGCGTTTTCGTCACATAACGGAGACTTATTTTTTTCTATTAATAACGCTCATACGAAAGCCGTAACGACGATTGCCATCACGAGCGACGATACTACGTTGATTAGCGGTGGCTGCGACGGCCAGGTGATTATTTCGCTCAATCAAATCTGATCGGCTTATTTTATTCCTACGGAAAAATTAATATTTTTTTCGTATTAATTATGCATTAGGTACCAATAAATTTTGCCGTTTAACATGAAACTTATCTGATTTCCAGGTGCGTATATGGGACATAAAAACTGACGTGCAGCGATTGATTAATACACTGAAAGAACATCGAGGTCCGGTAACATCTTTGCATGTCTCAAGCAACAATGAGGATCTGATAAGTTCGTGTACGGATGGTACATGCGTTATTTGGGACATAATGTAAGTTTCGCTTGTAAAATATTATTTAAGTTAATGTAAGAGTGAGTTTTAATAGATTCTTTCATAATAGACGCTGCACTAGGAAACATATTCTCATAGGAAACACGATGTTTATGATGGCACAATTTACGCCCGACGGCATTCAAATCTTGGCATGCGGCACGGATCGGAAGATCACCTATTGGGAGACTCTGGATGGTTCGCTAGTGCGAGAGATTGAAGGTTCGAGCGCCGGAACGATGAATTGCATAGACATCAGTTCGGACGGTCAATATTTTGTTACCGGATCCAATGACTGTACTATCAAGATCTGGGAGTATAATAGCGCGGATCTCACTCACATTAGTACTTCCCATGCCGCGATAATCACCGCGTGTAAGTTCAGTACGGACGGCAAGCATATAGTATCAGCAAGCGCTGATGGAACAATTATAATATGGAAACGTCCATCCGAGGTCTTAAAGGACTCAAAGAGCACGCCAATTCAGGAGGATAAGTCAGAAAGAGTTTCGATACATAGCGCGCCCAACAAAGATATAGATAAATTATCTTCGCGAAAAGCAGAGGATGATGGAAGTGTTGTGGTGGATCAGACTGCACGATCCTCTAAAAAATCTAGTTCATCATGTACAAGTAAGTATATTATTCTTAAATATATAACAAAGTAAAACAGAGATTTATCAGAGCAATGTAAATTTTACATGTTATTGCGATTCATGCTGATTTATTAATGATAGATAATCAGAAACCGCCATTAGTTGCTTCTGATCGGAGTAAAGATTCCAAAAAAGAAACTCGCGAAGAAAAAACATCTATTTGTAAATGTACATCGCGGAGCTCGACAAGTTTCAAATCAAATGCAGGCACATCGAATCAATGCCGATATAAGGACACAAAGAGTGACAGATCATCCAGCAAAACAAGAACGGAAAAATTGAAAGAATCTTCAGAATCATGCAGCAAAAGATCCATTACGTCAAAGACATAATGCAATTATTTCAATGACAAATCGATTTATTTATGTTCGAGATTTCGATATTACTATATTAACGCGTAATAAAACTGTAGCAGCATTTTTGTACCTTTCTAATATAAATGCGTAATTTCAGCAAGAATTCTTCTACAAAACAATGGTAAAAACCAGGTATCATAATTATAATTATATTATACATAAGTAAAAATTATATAATAAATAGAAAACTAGAATTATCACAATGTGGTTCGTGTCAATATATATATTATTCTTATATATTATTCTTTATCAGGGAAAATTAATATTGGCAAGCTAATTTTAATTTTAATAAATCTCAACCCCACGCTTGACTCTTACAGTAATGTATAACCAACTTTCCATCAGCACCGTAGCAGTCGTACAAATTCTTGACTGTCTGATCTGGAGCAGGTGCAAATGTCTGATTAACATAGAGAAACTGAAAAATAAAAATTCATCATATTAGTCATCATCGCTTGTACTGGCAGAAGAAATTGAAAAGGAATATTTTAGTGCACCAATCTCTCGTTGGGATCCAGCTTGAGATACTTCTTTACAAATTCAGAGATCCGTCCGATAGGATTGTCTTGACAAACTGACCATTTCTTCTGTTTCATAATTGGAGCATTGGCAGTAGCTTTCAGCAGTATATCAACTATGAAATTTAAAATTAATATAAAATTTATTTTTTTTAATATATCTTGTTATACGCTTGTAAAATTGTATGTAAATAACGGTGAAATCATACTTTTTGATTTGTCCTTTGGTGCTGTCTGAAGTTCATTTCGTGTCGCGTTTCCCTCAGGGATGGTCTCTAAACTAGTTGGTGGATCTTCCGTTGTTGAGTTATCTGGTGTCTCTTCAATCTTTGCATCAGTAGTTGTACTGTTTACTCTCTCCTCTTCCTTGGCTGCCATGGCACAATGTAATCTTATTGTATCTGTTACAGTAAAAAGCAAAAAATTCAATAGTTATATATATATTTACTAGTTAAATATACATTTAAAAAAAGTAAAAAGTAAAAATCAATAATTTATTATTACCAACAAACATGTATGCTTAATTAATAAAATACTTTAATAAAAACTAATTGATATTTCTTCACATATCTTTTCAGCAAATCGTTTATTAAATAGTTGTATTGATATTTTTAAATTTAAATTCATTCGTTTCACAATAAATGTATAGGTTATAATATAATTATTTGATTATCATAGAGAATTCTTCAAGAAATGAACAAGTTATACAATAAAGGATTATATTATTTAATAAAATGTAACTTTTGCTTTTAGCAATTAAAGAACTATTGCAAACCAGAATGGCATTTTTAATTATACGTTGTTCTTGTATATTTTTGTTCAAATCAGAATAGCAAGTGCCATAGTAAAGGATCAATTGTTCTTTTTTTTTTACTTTTTTATTCGATAAAGTTAATGTATGAGTAAATTAATAATGAGTAATTCAATAAAATATACACAATTAACAACAATAACATAATGTTTGTTAGACAAATCTTGTATTCAGTATACATATATCAAGAAACTTATATTCACACGTTATTTCAGGCGAAATAAAATAGACGATACAGAATCGGCAAGGAACAAAAATTATGTTTTATAGTATTTTATACTTGCAGTTCACAATAACGCGATCAGCTGATTACTCCGAGCATCCAAATAGACGCACTGAAGCCACTGAAGGTATGACTTTTATTCCTGCACTCAGCTAAGCTGCACTAGAATTTTCTTTCTTGCTTTCGTCAAATATCAAATATTTATTTCATCTATATCTATTTCACTTAAAGTTCTAAAAAGTTCTAAAGTGTACACTATTTTAAAGGAATAGGTCTCATATTTACCTAACCTAACTTTAGACACGCAACACACCATACAATAGGGATTAGGACACTTTTATCTTGGATACATATCTTATTTAGATATTTATTGATATTTATTCATCATGATTGACAGAAGTGACAATTCTATAGTTTAAAAAAACTTTTGGTATCTTCTTACGAAAAGAGAAATAAAAGTTTTTTTATCTACAGTTACAAATGAGGTTAACGTGTACAAGAAGCGAAAGGTAAATACAATATGGTAATTAATATATTTAAATATGTAGCCTTCAATTCTTTTATCGATAGACAGATAGAACATCTAAAGTGTAATTAGAAACATCGGGAGTATTCTGTAATAGGCAAATTATTTTACTTTTTACTATCTGAAATATAAGACAAAAATATATATTGTAACGCTAAAAAATAAAATGATTATTTGAACAGATAATAATTCTTCCAATTACGAATATCCTACATTTCTCATCGTCATGGTAGAAGCAGCTGGGTGTGGAGAATTACAGCAGTTGGTTCAAGAAGAAGAATGCGAAGAGCCACTCAGTCATGGAGGAGAAGCTACTCCTCCATCAACGCCAGCGAGATCTCATCGTCCGAACAAAACTGAAGTTCATAATTCTAGTATATCGGTATGTTAATTATCTTGATCTCATTATTTTGACAACTGTATAATAATATAATTATTTATCTAATATTTTTGCAGCAACAAATATTATGGGAAAACAACGCACAAACATCGCCAATTATTAGCAAAGGAAGCTCCGGTCAAGGAACGAGTCAAGGCTCCATGGTTTCCAGTCGTGCTGCTAATGCTTCAAGTTATACTGGCAATCAATCTCGACTAACATATCTTAATGAGAAGGAAAAGCAGAGGCCTAATCGGCCTGATCCACCGAGAATTGTAAGACAGCACAAAGGTAATTAAGGCTCCGGAAATTATTTTAAGTACAATGATTTTTCTTCTCAGTTTCTTTCATTTTCCAATTCTATTGCACTTGTTTTTTATAAATATATTTTATAAATATATATTTGTATACATTTGTATATTTTATACAAATGTATACAAATATATTATAATTTTTTAATATTTTTTATAATTTATGATTCTGTTGTGTATAAGTCTTATGTTTAAGTTTTATATCTTTTGATTTTGTTTTGGTATTATTATAAAAAGCTATGGTGCCATGCAAACACCATTGCTTTCTGTCAGAGGTTCCTGATGTTCGTCATATGGAGCAAGCTTTGCTACAATTGCTGGAAGATTTTCACAGTGGCAATTTACGAGCATTTGGTTGGTACAGTTCATGATATATAAACAATAGAATACTTAATGAGATCGACAATTGTTTATAGGAAAAGATTGTAGTATGGAACAGATGACGGAAATACGAGAGCAACAGGAACGTTTGACTAGACTACACTTCGAGTTAGGTCAACGACAGGAAGTGGGTGGCGAGCAGTCAGGTCTCCGACAATCAAATGCGAATATGCGTCATTTGCTTCATCGTCTTCAACAATTGAGTGTTTGTATAGAAAAATTACATAGCAAATGATTATCTTGTATTTATTATACATATTATACATATTATAAATTCTTAATGATGTTCAAGGGTGTACCATTATATTGTTATATACAATTTTTATAAAAATACATTGCTAAATATATATATATATATATAGTATAAATATAATGTACATATATAATATAAAGTATTTTATGTTGGAAGAAGAGGATTATAAATGCAATCTTAGATATATGATTATTGTACAAATATGTAATGCATACGTGAAAAGCAAATTTGAATAATGTAAAGTAATTATTATATAGAATATATATTAAAAATTTAAAACATTTTTCATACAACTACAGATTTGTAATTACATATCACATATATCATTACGTATTTATTACTATATAAAAGTATATTTTTTCAGTATTTGGAATGCGCTAAAACAATTGCCATTTTCGTAGCTATGTAGATTGCACTCTTTAATCGATGTTTTAAATGTTTTAAATGTTAATTATTTATTTTTATTTTAAATCTTTCATTCATCGATCATGCAAAAGATCAAAAATACTCCAATAAAAATCAGCTATAAATATTAATATTATTTGATGTAATTAATTTATCACGAATTTTAAAAATCTAGCATTTCTGCATCCTAGGTATCCAATATTTCAGTAGATTGCTGCAGAGATTTGCGAGGATGAAATCAACATCATCACAACCACAACGCATGATTACAGCTCATGATACTTTGGAACATCTGAGCTATGCAAAACGTCCTGCATTCAATGCATTGTGGGAACCGAAAAATATGATCAGTATCGATGTAAAAGCAATAGAAAAAAAACGTATTCTTGGAGACAAATATCTGGAGAGTATAATCAAGTAATGATTTGAATAGGTCAACTTAATAAGGTCAACTTAATAAGACAAGATACACAAGATCAATTCGATAATTTCCATACGTATCCTGCGCACATATTTGTACATAAATTCTTGGAATATTAATCTTGATTTAGAGAAAGGCCAAGAAGTTATATGGTACCAAGTGTAAATTTAGATGATATACAAGATAAAAATCAAAGAAAATTAATGATCGACTTTATATACCAAAAAACGATAGATCGAGCGACGAAGGAAATTTGGGGCGATTTTAAAATACAACCTTGCTTATATGTAAAGAGATATACAGAAGAACAACAAAAACCCGTATATTGTTTTATACAACTATATAAATTTGCAATAAGCTTCATAGCAATTATAAATAGAATAATTTACAGGAAATTGATCGAAAATTAATATCTCGTTTGCCAATGAGATTTCAAGGAGCTGCTAGGAAATGGGATAGCATGCAATGTCGTTCTTTTCTTGAAGATGATATTTGCTATGATAAAAAAATTAAAAGAAAGAGTGCTATGTATGTAAAGGAAAAATACTTACAATAATTCTCTTTTTTATAAAGAAAAAATCTTATTTGGCTAAGTAATTAATTATTTATAGAGAATTAGAAACTTGTGCAAGCAAAGAGATAGAAGAAGAGCATATGATAAGAAAATTAATCAATGAAAATAAATTAAGTATTATTTATGACAAATTGCCTTCATCGTATACAGGACATAGACCGTATTGCACATGAAATGCCGATAGAGAAGAGAGAAATCAATTAAAAGTAACAATGTACCAATTCATTTACAAATATGTCTCTCCACATGATCCTAATAAATGTCTATTTACATATGTTCTATCTAATAAATCTATCATAATTACAATAAAACATTTCTATAATAATATGACTATACTTATAATAAATTGACTTTTCAAAATTTATTTTACAATATCACAAGAATAAAACTCAACTCGAAAGGTTTTAAAATCTTACAAACATTTCTCAATTCATCTTGAAACAAAACATCGAAAAGTTACCTTAAAATGTAAAACAAAATGAAAGGGCTTTCGAAGCGCGCATTCTAACAATACTTTCTCTATCGCGTAAAAGTTGTAACAGTCTTTGTACATCTTCAGGTCTTGGAGAATCGAATAACCCTAAGAGCAGCGCAGACGTGGATCTGGTATGATAATTTTCCGATCTAGAATAACCACGGACAACAGCGTTTCTGTCAAAAAGATAATACAATTTAGGATACGCACCTATTTTTAATATTTAATTTAATTAAAAAATACATTATGGTATTATATACCTTAATTCTTCTGCTCTTTGTGGAAATTCCTTTTTTAAACAGTTTATCAAGTCTTTGGAAAAACTCTCGAAACTAAACTTCACTTGTGGTCCCAAATTAGTACGTATTACATGCAATAATTTCTCATTCTGCACGATACTTGTAGTTTTACATAAGGTTTCCTGTGCAGTCTGTTGCATAAGCAGCATAAATAAACATCTGAACAATTAACTCTAAATAACACATTTTATAATAATAGACATACCTTAACTATTGTTATATTTGAGTCTTCCAGTCTTATTATCAAAGACGGCAAACAGCCTAGAAGATGATCAATCAAATCATCATCCGGTAATGCAACTGATCTCTGCCAATTGGTAGCTATCGCTCCCAAAGCATCTATGGCAGCAAGTTTCATTTCCCAGTTTTCTTTCTCGATGAATGGTTTCAAGGCCAGCACCACTCGCGGGCTAATAGGTCTCTTGTATTGAACCGATAATAATACTGAGAGGCCACGTAACGACTCAAGTACTACTTCAGCACCGCCTTCTCCACCGGCAGTCTCCTCCAATCCATCGAGTAAGGCTTCCATGCAATTGTCAAAATATTCATCGACCTAAAAGACAACACTTATGTCAGTATATAAAAATACATACTGAAAAATAATACTTTACCTGTCTCGGATCCAAGTAGGCTATTCTAGCAAGTCCGATGGTAGCGAGTTTTCGCACTAAAGATGATGAATCGGCTTTAGCGTCGTGCAGAGTGTTAATTATGGCATCAAGCCATATAGTTCCACAATTTATTTTGCCAATCAATTCCGAATAAAAAGTGGCAGCGACCGCTCGCTGTATGGCTATCGTGCTAGTCATCAATTTACCCAGATATTGCGTCATGTTTGACAGAACTTCGCTTTTAGTTGATATACATTTCATCAATGTTCGTACAGTTGATATCAGGCTTTCTTCGGCTTGTGTTTCGGAAGCAAATGTCTAAATACAAAAGATTTACATTATTAACTTGAAGTAAAAACAATCATAAATTTGTAAAATGCTTTTATACGTACAGTCTCCATCGGCAAATTGGATGCAGCATTCGGCTGGATGATTATTAATATGTTGGTTAATATAGAATATACTTCCGTATGAGGATTTATCTTCTGCGCTGCTCGATTCGGTACATATCCATACTTCGTATTTATCACCGACGCAGGAGCTTCGACATGTAACCAGCCCGAGAGATATTTAAGAAGGACTGATAACAAGCCTGCTAATTGCGTGTCGGTAATTAAACTTTCCACATGCGGCGATTCAAGAAAATGCTTTAAACCTACGATAGCAGCCAAGGATGAGAGAGATGCGATATTATTTCGTCCAGAATGCATGGACGGAAGAGGAATATCAGAAAATAAATTGCTGGATTCAAGTTTTATTAATAACATATCCAAAGCCTGAAAAAAATATTATGATTTATATCTATATCGAAAAGTATAAACGATTACGTAGTCGTATATGAAAAGATAGGATCTACTCGAGGTCCAAGGAAGTCATTATTGCCAATTTCTTTCCAGCACAATGCGGTGCCCGGATCTAATGGTAACGGCTGAGATAAAAGATACTCGGTCACTTCTTCCGGATGATGTTTCATTAATGATACTATAGCCACCGTTGCACTGTATCTACAGCTCGCGTTTTCCATTTGTCTCATTTGCGCAATAATACTTTCTACAACATAAATAGTGAAAAAAACATTTTGTCAGCAATATAAAAAATCAAATAAAGATTTTTAAATAATCACGATTAGTGACAGAATAATTTACACTTTACATACCGACTAAACAAACATCGGTCCTGGATATCTCCGAACCTTTAATTTGAAAATGTTGCGAGAGAGCTATGCCTGCTACCAAGCTTGCTTCTCCATAGAATAACAAGCCTTCTATCAAACCCTCCGCTAAGCTAACTATCTCACCATTGGGAATTTTCTGCGATACTGCATTAGCCAGTCTCTGCACACAATGTTTTTCCATTTTTCATTATCGTAGTAAGATCTGTGATTATTTGCATCATTCAATCATATCAACTTACCTCTATGGCTCCATAAGATATCGACGAGTCTTCGATCATAAGTTCTTTTTTTATTTGTTGTATGTCGTCACTCAAAGTATTATCAGGTGATATATGCCGATGACGGGCTGCAATATCCAAAGAGAGAAGCATGCAATCTATCGCCAGTGGTCTCAAAGCAAATTCGGTATCCGCACACCAGCATAAAGTTCTTCCTACAAGTTTTCCAGCATCCAACTTACCACCTGGATATGTATATTTCAAAGAATTATAATAAGATCTGTAAAAGAGACAATACATGTTATAAATATATAACGTATTTGTATAATAAAGTGAGATATATTTGCGTGATTATAATTGTAATTACTGAAGCACTGTATGCAGCACTAATAGAGTAATTTTTCTTTCCACAATCGACTTGGATTGCATCCAGGGTAACAATATGTCAACTAATTCAGACAACGCGTCTGCTGAATCGGATACAATTTCGCTGGACACAGTTCCCAATTCGTCTACAACTTGCTGCATTATTTCTGGATGTAATTGCAAAGCAATCTAAGACAAAGATATTAATATTACTATGAAAATAATCAATGAATATATGATAATGTAATCTTAATTTTGGTACCTCTGAACTAGCACTAATTGTTTTATCCAATACTGCACCAAGGAAAATTTGTCTTTCCTCATTATTTAGTACTGGCGGTATACATCTGTGAAATTGTAAAAAAAAATATGTTAACGTCAATTCGTAACATCAAATAAATAAATTGTTAAATAAAACATACATTAAAGAGTTTGCTGCTTTCAATATCGTCGGATAGAGTTGCAATGGCCTATATCCCGTCGATGACTGTAAAATTCCCAATAGAGTGGCTAGAGCAGTAGCTTTCATACGCAGGCCCTTAGATTCGGGCAATCTGACGGGATGAACAGCGTTGGCCACCTACAAATAAAAAGGTAGAGAACATTTTATTTTAAATATATATATTTAATATACGTGTGAAAAATTTGCAGGAAGAAATTTGCAGGATAAATCCGGAAGGAATGTATGACTTAGGATAAACAATATCTTAAGTCATCTAAATAATAATATCCAGAATATAACGTCTCATTCTAATAGTTTACATTCAGATTTATTTATTCTTTTATTAAGATTGAGATCATATATGGAATTTATTAATTGCAAAATTAGTGAATTGATAATCATACCCTATATATGCCTAAATTTTATCTAAAGCTCATCAGAGAAGACAATGAGAAATTATTCTATACAGTTATTATTTTTTAAAATAACGCTGTAGACAAATTTGAAAAAAAGCCTCTAGATAGTCTAGTTACATAACCATAAAACAATCCTTCTTAAAATGCCAATGTTAGGATGATAACATTCTAAAGAAGATTAAAAGATTGAATTAAATTACTTGTTCCAAGACTGACAATCCTGCTTCCTTTGTAGACAACTCCTTGCATTCTTGCAACTGTTTAATAGTCCACGGTAACACATGTTTTTCGAAAACAGGGAAAAGTTCCTGCGGATCCCCTTTCTGAGCAATTTCGGCATAAGACTGCAATAAACCTGCTTTTGCAGCTTCAGCGGTAGCGGCAGCTTTCGTATCCTTCACAAAACCTAATAATCTCACAGGAGCCTTTCGGGCATCCTCGACGGTACAAAACTCCTCCATTAATTTCAGCATGATACTCAAATGCCGTTTGGCGCAAATGCCAACCGCTCGCGCAAATTCTTTGGTAGTGCCGTGAGAACGCGCGAGTTCGACGAGGAGGGTGATATGAGCGTTATTGTTGCAGGTAGATGCCAAAAGCGGCGCTACACCCGGTGTGTTTATTTTCAAAGCGAGTTCGTCAGCGAGCTTCGTGCCCCATGATTCTCCTTCCAATTTCACGCTCTCTTCTAACCATTCTACAATTTTTTTTTCCCAGATTAAATCCCTAAAAATTAAAAAAGATTAAAAATAGTTATTAACAATATATAGATATACATATAAATAAAATTGGATATAAAAAGTGTATTATGTACCATTGCATGGTATCTTTCATTTCTTTAGAGCTTTTTCGAGAGTTTCTTCTACCATGTAAAAATTCCTGCGAAAGTTCGTGCAATTTTTCATCCCAATAAGATTTCACTTGATGACCTATCAGAGGTGCTGCCGACTTTAAAAAGCCTATTACTGCAGGTCGATTAATCGGATTGCTTAACAATTCCAGGCATCTGCCTAAGACTTTTGTACCAGGAAAATCCCTCTCATTTGTTGAAGAGTTTTTATCACGTATTATTTTTGTCGCTAAGGGAGACAGTGAACGTAGCACAGATGTGACCTACCAACAAAAAAGAGTAATAATTGAATTAAATTTAATACATCATAAATATCTTAGATAAAGAGAATTGTTATTTACGGATGCTACACAAGCCGAATCCAGCAATGCACTTATCAAACACGGCCATAGCCAAGATTCGACACCATCAACTGTCGTTGCGAGCAGGTATAAAGCTTCAGAACATGCTTCCATATCGTCACTCTTTATTTCGCAGTGTGACACCTATTTTAAGACAAAGTTAATTTCTCAATTATTTTTCTCTAACTTTTTCTTAACTTAGACATCATTTACATACCATATAACGAACAAATTTAGCCCTCTGTGACGGCAATAAGGGAAATGTCGGCCGTGCCGCGAGTGCCACTATAGCACCGACCATCTGAAGCGCACCATTCTCTCCAAGAGACTCCTGCAGGCTAAGTGCAATTCTTTGCATGGATCCATCGTCCTAATAAAATAATATGCATATTTACTATGACATACTTATTAATAAAATTACATATTTTTGTACCTCTGGTGGAAGAGTATTTATAAGATGTCTGAGGACTACCAAAGCACGGGCACGTTGATGAGCAATTGGTGATTTCAACTGTTGCAAGATTCTGCAAGAAAATAAAAAATGAGCAATTAAAACTCTTACAATTTCATAATTTAATGAAATATGAAAATATCAATTACCTATCGAGACCTTCTTCAGGATACAAAACAACTAATGATCTGGAACACTGCAGTATTTCATAATGTGTAAGAACCGCATCTCGAGCTGCTTCAAAAGGACAAATACTGACAAATTCGGATAAAGTTTGATGAATAATCTCCATAAATGCACGAATTGCCTCTTTGTCATTTTCAGTCTCAATAGAACTTAAAATCATAGCTATAACTCTGTTATAAATGTTATATCAATTAAAAAAGTTATATAAATTCATTAAATTTAGTAAAGTATTTAAAAAAATAATGTGATATACAGTGAATAAACTTATTGTAAATTATGAAACTCACCTTACAGCAGCTAAACGTACATTTTGCTTTCTACAAAGATTTAAACATACAGGTATTAATTTTACAATTCTCTCACTATCTTGCTGCACAGGCAACAAAGATACCATAGGCACGAGTGTTGTTAAAATAGCTTCTGTTGATTTAGAATCGCGAGATGTTTTCAACCAGTTGTTTATTAAAAAATCAAAAACAGAGCAAATTTCTTCTACAAACGTCTGCTTATTAATTCCCAGAGACGAGTCTTCTCCATTCATTATATAATCGTTTACAGCATCGCAAAACTTAGAAATCACTAGAAATAAAATAAATTAGTCGGAGTTTCATTAAGCTTAAAAGGAGTATGATAAAATATATGAATATTTACTGAAGCAAATTGCCTGTTTGAGAATTTCTTCACGTATTTGATTTAACATTGGTAACATGATAGTCAATGTTATTTTAACGAAGGACAACATTCCATATGGATTGGCTGCTGCGAGCTTTCCTATTGTAAAAACTATCGCAGGATTAGGAATCACCCCAGGTTCCAATCTACAAATATGTGTCATATAATTATCTATTATCAATAAATTTAAGCAGATCAATATTTTATTCAATTTTTATAATATATTTATAAATAAATTAATTTATAATTGCATACTTAGTTAAAAGTCCACCTGTAGCTTGCATACAGTGTATTTTGCAAAGCTCAATCAATAACTCGGCTGCCTCATTCTCAGTCTCTCCTATTAACTCATTCACTGCCACCTCAGCGAGAGATGTTACTAGATCTACATTTAAACTTGTAGTTGAATGTCTGCATATGCTGGATATTATGTTTAACAAGGATCTCATGTGTTCTGTGGATATCTTTGAATGGCAACAATTATATAACATGATACCATACATAAGAGCAATCTATAATATAAATTATGCTAAAAATCAACCTTTTTATGCATTTCCCAAAAATATATAGCAGCATGGATAACAACTTCTGGATTCTTTTTACTTATTCTTTCAATCGATTCGATCACAGACTGTTTTACGTCCTGATTCTTGTCATTTAAGGTATCTAACAAGGCTCCGATCACAGCTGAAAATGTTTATATTTATATAAATGGTTATATTTTGGTTATTTATAGCAAGCATTTATCAAATACTATTCAACTAACAAAATAATTTTAAACTTATTTGTTTCTAATTGCTTATATTTCTACCTGGTAACTCGGAATTATAATTCTCTTCTAGTTCCTCCTTCATGTTTACAAATCAAGTGATAAGTTCTGACGAGAAATATTATATTTCTAAAATCTTATATTTTCATTGACATTAGATTTGAATCACTTGTCACACCTCTCACGCAATGATAAAAGTATTTATTCTATCATTATACGCAATTAGTACAATCCATTTTTTACTGCGGTGGTTCCCCTATACAACTTGCAAAATTGCAAATTAACCTCTCTGGTTAACTCAATTGCACCTCATTCGCGGTGCAAATACACATCTGTATATTTTATCATATTTCGTCTCCTAGAAGAAACACTTTGCCACGAGACTTCTTTTAGTTTATTTCTTACAAAAGTACAATTACTAAAGAGTTGGATATTGCACTTTAATTTGTAAAATATTATAAATAAAATTAGCTGCACGTTAACTGCACTTTTGTGCAGATATCAGAAATTTTATTTATTCTTTTCTTACAAGATATGTTTTACATCAAATTGTAAATGAATTCTTCTGATTACAAATATCGCAATATAACGCAATTTTTTTAATATTTAAAATATTCATAATTTGGTTGAAGAGAAATTCGTCCTCAATCGCCTCACTATCGATATGCAATATCGATAATGCGAGACCTCGATAATTAAGTGCAAGCTAGTACAAGTATATCGCAAAAATAAATTTCTAGAATAAAAGAACATTAGTTTAACTGGCGATTAATTTATTGAATAACGTCATTAATTAAAGTAATGTAAATAGAACGACTTATTGTCCTTTGATATGTGAAAAAAAAGATTCAAGGCAATAAATTATGCGTCCAGAACTTTATTGCAAGTAATTCTGCCAGTCATCACCAATTAAAACTCGGTTTCACCAAATTAATTTTAATCTTGATTTAATTTACTTTTTATTTTTATGTAATTCTAAATAAGAAAAAAATAAATAGTAAATTTAATCAAAATTATTCTTACATTTGTGAAATCAGAAATTATAATTGATTGATTAGAGGTCAATCAAAGTCTTGAATATCGCAAATAACAAATATTGTACATTATTTATTAACAATTCTTTAACAAATGTGTTTCAAATACAAAATATACAGTTTTGTATAATACAGATAAAATTGAATGTATTCCTACAATGATTGTAATTAGTGTACAAGACGTAAGAAACCGACGGAACATTCAGTTCTCTGGATCTTATGATGGATTCATGATAAGTTTAAACGGAGACTGGTGGCATTAGCGTTATTCCATTGCATTCAATGGCGATTTTAACACCAACGATAAAGAAAGCAATGTTCTTCACCATTGACCTAAAAAAGCAAATATTAATGTGAAATATTTATAAGCAGAAATTGCAGATACAATAAGTTATTGCAGATACAATATTTTCTCGGTTCAATTTACTCTTTATCTTTTTTTAATTCTAAGAATTAAAAACAGAAAGAGTAAGTTAAATCAAGATTAAAGTTAATTGAAATTAATCTAACTAATCTGATGAAATTGGATATGTTATTGGATTAATATACTAATATACATTATTAAATTTAATCTTAATTTTATTCATTATCTTTCTTTAATTCTTAAAACTAGAAAAAGACAGAAATAAGTTCAACTGAGATTAAAGTTAACTTAAATTGGTAGAAATGGTCACAATGGACACAAGTTTAACAAGTGTACTAGAATGCAGCTACAAACCTAATAATAATAATAAAAAAAGAATAATAATTCTTTTCTGTAAGAAATAATTAATGAAATAATTAAAGCGAAATAATCTAACACGAGTAGAGGTTAGGATTGCCAGGTACTATCAAATCTACTCTGCAATCTCTCAAAGAAAAAATGTAATTCATTCACCCACCACTTGAACTGATCGTAGTAGACATCTTTAAAGACCTTTCCGATTTTTTCCGTCACCATTGTTTGTCTTTTGTCTAAGAACTGATGAAAACTTCAGTTAGTCTAAGTTTCTTGTCACCTTTCGTTGAGAAGTGTTTAGGGTTCAGAAGTTTCGCCAATTTCCGCCTTACGCTTCGCCGATGTGTCTCTTCGCATCTTCTCCACTTTCCTTCTTTCTTCCGCTAAAGATCGAATATATATTTGTCCCATTCCAAATGCAAAGAGTGCAAATAAACGGAGCTAAAGCTCGATGAATTTGCACCTGCTGCACCGGCGCGCTGATCAATAAACAGCGCCCTTTAAAAGCAGAATTATATATGGGTAAGAGCGATACGTTCATTCGACAATATAACGATTTAATCTATTTACCCAATAATTACAAGGTAATTAATCGACAGATCAGTTAGAAGAATACCGGTTAGAAGAATAAAATTTTCTAACCGGTGAGCAAAGTCACCTTTAAGCTTTAAAACAGCTGTGATAAGAGTAATGTGGGACATGTCTCACAAATTAGTGAGCAGTGTATAACGTGGATTAATTGGATTAATGATGGCCGAGTTTCTTCGTAAGGATAATTGAAGCAATTGTAAGGTTTATTGACACATTGGTTGTTCCACAAGGATGGGTGCAGGAAAAAGTCAGTTTACGGAAGAAGAGCTACAGGATTACCAGGTAAGGCTGTTTTTTTTTCTTACTTTTGCTTATTTTTAGCTCTGACATTTTTTAATAATACTATGTTTTTCTTGATAGGATTTAACATATTTCACCAAGAAGGAAGTCTTATAGTGAGTATTATTAGTGTTGACATTTCCATTTATTTGAGTATATATCTATATATATATATATTTTATTAAGATTTATTATATTGAATCAGATTGTGTGATTAATTATTATATGCAAAATATTTGCTTTCTTTAACAGCGCACATCAGAAATTCAAGGCGCTTGCTCCAGAAAAAGTTGGACACAACAAAAACGCGAAGCTGCCAATGTCGAAGATCTTACAGTATCCTGAATTGAGAGTGAATCCTTTCGGCGACAGGATCTGCAAAGTCTTTAGCTCTAGTCAGGATGGTGATTGCACCTTTGAAGATTTCCTGGACATGATGTCTGTGTTTAGCGATGCTGCTCCGAAAGCTGTGAAGGCTGAGCATGCATTTAGAATATTTGGTAAGCGTACAGACCAATTAATTGTCCACGATATGGTCAAGATATTGAAATCATATCTTCAATTTAATAATAAAGTCTTATTTATGAAGATTTTGATGGCGATGATATGCTCGGTGTGGGAGATTTACGTCAAGTAGTTGACAGATTAACTGCACCCCAAAGATTAAATGATAGTGATATGCAGCAGCTTCTTCAGTATATCCTTGATGAGGCTGATTTAGATGACGATGGTGCGCTCAGCTTTGCTGAATTTGAACACATTATAGAGAAGAGCAGTGACTTTTCTAAGTAAGATGCTTCACAAGATCACTTGTAAAATCTATAACTTTTCTTCTTTCGTTAATAATATAAACATTTTTTTTGCAGGAGTTTTCGCATTCGTTTATAAATGTATTAACGAATATGCCAATGAAAGACTGAATATTATAATTGAAATTTAATTATGACTTGGGCCTAATTCAAAAGAGAAAAAATTATGATCGACGTTACTGCAGAATGTGCCAAGAGTCTATAATTTGGCCTAAGTCAGATGATGATCTCTTTTATTTTCAACCGAGCTTATTTATAATAGAAAAAACAGATGAAACTACGAAACGTTTAGATCTCTTAAAATATCGTATAATATGCCATATAAAACTGCCAAACATACAGTGGTATTATTGTTACACATGTATGACATTCCAATTTAATGAAAAAAAAATCTCTTCTTTTGAGATCAGTAAGCATTTTTGAAAACTATATCTTATGTAATGAAGTTGAATGAATGCATAAATTTGACAACTTATACCAACTCATTATACCAACTTGTATCTATTACTTAGTGAGAAGACAGAAAATTCATCTTCATTATGAACTTTCAGAATTATATTTATTATATAAACATTTAAAAATACAATACCCATATTGAAATATATTATTTAAAAATTTTGTTTCGATTATTATAC